ACAGACAACCTCTCGTCAATATGCGTTTTTCGCATTGCATTGCTGCAAAAAACGCATAAAAAAAAGCAACTGGCCAGCGCACCGATGCGAAGATGCGTTTTTGGTACGATTCCCCGTAGGTTTTTGTCGCTAATGGCACTGTTTTTTCTGGTACATGCTTTTAGCCAAAAGAATTGAGACTGGTTATTAGGAATGTCAGGAAACATCATCCTAAAATTTCAACTTTCTAGCTTTTCTGGTTTCCAAGTTAGAAGCCTGTTCGCCAAAAACTTTTACAGACCCGTAAGTGGGGACCACTTGTGTAAGAGCGCAAATTTTTATAGATGGCAGCCCGTATGTGTACGCAGATTAACTTCCCAAAGTTTCAGCTTTGTAGCGGTACAGACGAACGGTACAGATGAACACACAGACATAATCGGTACAGACGAACACACAGACATACGCACACAGACAACCCTGTGATAATATGCTTTTTGCACAGCATAAATGCGAAAAACGCATAAAAAAGTGAAAAAATTTACCTCGAAGCCCTTGAAGGCCGCGTTGCTCTCGAAGCATTCCCATAACAGTATGCAAACTGTATCGGCCACACGGATGTACAGGCATACTTGGGGGTTTGTCCACAACAAGTATATCGCTGTTGCTATCAATTACTTTGATGCGGCAATCAAGGATGGGATTTTCGTGACGATGCCCGATATGTTCAATAGCATCGTTATTCTGCACCACGTAATTCACATCGGTCATCTGATTACCGTTCACGCAAATTCGGCCCAATTTGCATGCCGCAGCCTAAAAGCTATAGATTTCTGAGGAGAGAACATAATTTTTCTAAATATTGCTTCTTAATTTCTTAATTTTGCATTTTATTTTGATAATTTCTGAAAAAAGAAAAACGATAACCAATTCCTTTACGATTTGCTTATTCGTTTTGATGGTAAATTGGTACTGGCATATGCCAGAAGATGCATTTCCCGCATCCAAAGAACTTAATTAAAGAACGAGACGAGCAGGAAAGAAGGGAAAAGAGGGAATGATACTTGCCTTACTAAAAATTTTATGCAAGTTGCACAAAAAGTGATACACGCGGGGACTTCGAAGAGGTGGCACACATACATCAAGGATTTATGAGTACCGAACCGGGACATCTCGGGCGATTGCGAAGATTCCTCGAACGGTTTGGTTATCAATACGTAACATGATGTAGCCATCCCTCTTGATCTGGTAAGGCGCCTCGTCGCAAGATCTGGTTAAAGCCATTCAAATGCTTTTAGTTTTTCAGTCCATTAAATCTGTCACACAATGCGTCAAATAATAATTTATGGTTTTTGAGAGAAATGGAGTAAGGAACAGTCGCGTCACGATGATGCAATACCCCGATCCCCGGTTCAATCTTTGGACACCCTACCCCATTAAAGT